TTCCCTTTCTTTCCTTGAGAGAGAGAAACAGAGGAGAGTTAGGCATCCCCTTTAGGGTCCTGCCACGATCCATCCCCAGCTTCAGCCAGCCCTAACGGGTACACTCACACATCCCTGGCATGTGGAGGGCAGTCCTCAGATCCAAACCCAGGACTGCTTCATATGGGCCTATTTGTGTTACCTCTGCACCACTGTCTGGCTCCTGTTTAAGCTCTTCAATGTATCTGTACTTAAAACTAAGTTAAAACAGGAGACCAGCAGTTAGAGTAATGTCTATGTCACTGAACTCCCATGTAGTCAACTGCAGTTTGAGTCCCAGACCTGGTGGCTTAAACTCACACTGGGTGTGTGTGCATGCATGCCCAAGATCCTGAGAGGAGAATGGAGGAGAAGGGATTGTGGCATGGCCATCCCCCCTGGGAGGTGATTTCTTGCTTTCTGTCTCTCTGTCTCTCTCTGTCTTTCTAGTGAGTGCACATGCCCTATAGCAAAAACCTCTCCAAAAGATAAAATTAAAAAATAAAACTAATTTAAAGCACTTAGGTTTTATTTATGTAAGTCATTGAATTACAAGTTTTTCTTAAATTAGTTTCAATTTTGGGGATTCTGTCTTTTGTAGCCAAAAGAGGTTCCTTTGTTGCAATGAACTCTCATGGTTGCAATAAAAATCTGTTAATTAAGGTGATGGTTCAATTTGATCCCACAACTGTCAGCAGAGTATAAACTACACACTAAGAACACCGATACCAGGCTCAGAGTTCGTGCATGCTTATTCAATGAAAGAATTACCCCTAAGCAGAGACAAACCTCCATGTGTCTTGTCACTTTCCTTTTGTCATTACTGGTTTTCTAAAGAGCCCTTCTACCTTCAGCAATTCCCCACAATTAACAGATAAAATTAGGAATACCTGTACTCCTTTCTTGGGCGTCTGATAGTACATTGCCTTCAGCTCTTCTGTCTTTTGAATGAAGAGATTATGACCTCCTGGTTTAGAATAAATTCCCTGCTTCACTGCTTCTTCTAGAGGACGAAAAATATCCTGAAGTAGAGCTGAGCAATGATCCAATGACGCTTCCAAGTTCCGATTACAAATGTCAATCCGCCTTGCATCTAGTAGGGTCTTCAAGGAGACACAGATGTTAGCAACTCCTCAGCATTTCCAGAAATGATCCTCTACAGCACCTGCATATTTTCCCCTAGAAACTCAGAGGAAAACAAGTAGACCATGTCTTTCTCACCAAACCTAGGAAAGTTCCAGTGATGATACTCTATTAAGAAAAAAGAAAATGACGTCTACTTTTGGTTCGAAATCTCCTGGGCCTTCTTTCTCTTATTTATTTATTTATTTATTTATTTATTTATTTTGGAGAGATTTTCACTGTAGGGCGCGTGTGCTCGCCAGACAGACAGAGAGAGACATAGAGACAGAAAGCGAGAAAGCACCCCCCAGGGGGGATGGTCACGCTGCAATCCCTTCTCCTCCATTCTCCTCTCGGGATCTTGGGCACACACGCACACGCACCCGGCGTGAGTTTTAAGCCACCGGGTCCGGGACACGAACCGCGGTGGACTACGTGGGAGTCCAGCGACATAGCCATTACGCTAACTGCTGGTTCCCTATTTATTTATTTTTTGTTAGATGGGCTCTTCAGACAAAAGACCTCTAACCTCACACCCTAACTTTAAATGCAGCTTACTGGTTTTTTTGTTTGTTTTTTGTTTTTGTTTTTGTTTTGTTTTTTTGGAGAGGTTTTTGCTATAGGGCGCATGCACTAGCCAGACAGACAGAGAGAGACAGAGAGACAGAAAGCAACAAATCACCCCCCAGGGGGGGATGGCCACGCCACAATTCCTTCTCCTCCATTCTCCTCTCGGGATCTTGGGCACGCATGCACATGTGCCCGGCGTGAGTTTAAGCCACCGGGTCCGGGACACGAACCGCGGTCGACTACATGGGAGTCCAGTGACATAGCCATTACGCTAACTGCTGGTCCCACTGTTTTATAACATACTGATTTTGGTGCTTTATTGGATCTGAGATTTCCAGTGAAAAGATGGAATAGAATAATAGGCTGAAACAATATAAGCTTTTCTTGTCAAACCAAGATTCATCATACTTTAGTAGATACACTTGGAAATTAAGTATGCTTGATTGATTTTTAAAAAAAGGAAAGTTAATTAATACTTTGTAAATACAATTATTTAAAGAAATAAAATTAATTTTAAAAATTTAGTCTATGAGTACAACATGGTAAAGGTGAGTCATATGCATATATGAAAACTTCAGAATCTATAGGGCCCAGAGTGTATGACACATATATTTGTTATCAGAATAAAAGTGATATCGTGGCCATATAAGTGATTATCATTATTTTCCAGTTTTGTGTAAATTGTCTTTTTATAAATTAAGTGACATTTTACCACTGATAGCAGTACTTTGTGTTCTATTGATGCTAATCCCCATGAATTAGAAGAAAAGTTAGCACCTCTAGTTCCTTCTGGAAACTCTGGTCCACATCCTTGAAAGCATTCTTCATGAAGATTTCAGTGGCCTCTTTCTCACTGGCCCTGTGCAGGTCCAGCAGCTCCTGGAGGGTTTCTGTGGGCAGCTGCACCCTCTGGCCCATCTGCTGGTCATAGTGGGCAATGGCCTTCTGCACTGCAGCCGAGTTCTGTTTCTCGGCCATGACCAGCACTGCGTTCTCCATGCAGGGCAGGTCCCCACTGTTGATGGCATTTACATAGGTCAGCACCAGGTTCTCTAGACCTTCACAGAAGGAAAAGATGCTGGTATTATTTGCAGAGACAGGAAAGTCATGATGTTTTTCCTGAGTTTTTCCACACAAAAATCAATCATGACTTTCCCAATGACCCAATACATTGAGTAATTTTAAGAATGTTAACTTAGGACCAGAAGATGGCATAATGACTATGTCGCTGGACTCCTACATAGTTGACCACGGTTGGAGTCCCAGACCCGGCAGCTTAAACTCACACCAGGCACATG